GTTCCTTCCAGAGCGAAACAACTATCAGGCAAAGTCTTCTGATATACGTATGTACACATCTTCGAATTTTTAGAAACAAAGATATTTTATCCACTAGGTCTTTGGATATTTGTAGTTTGTACTAAATGAAACATTGATCTATGTGTAAAAATCTGACATCTTTTCCAAGAAATTCGAAATTATATTTCTAAAAATATAACTGAAAAATTGAGTACTATTGTCGTTCTTTCGAAAGTCTAGAAACAGTTGAAAGCGCATTTGTTTGATTTCATTACACTCACCCATGTCAAAGTTTTTTAAAACGATTTCTGCAGAAATGAGCGTTTTTTGGCAGCACTAGCGCAATGCCAGAAAACGCATGGTTCTTATATGCGTTTTCTTGCGCTGTATTTTTTACCGTGCAAAATTAAACAAGAAAACGATACCTTTTGTCTTTTATTGCAGGATCTTTTTTTTGCGTTATACTGCGTGTCGTTTTTAAATAAAATTTTGGTAAGATTTTTTTTAACAATACAAAAAAACGATGACGTATTCGATGACTCATCGTAACTAGTGTATAATTCGAAAAAGCGGTATATTGATATAAGTGGTCCTGAGATTTCTCTGAGTGACTTCTCTTAGCCACGGGGAAAGCGGAGAGAGTGAAGTGGACAGCGGGTCGAGCCAGGAGGTCTGCCTATGGGCAGATTCGATGAACCTGTCCGTGTTTGCAAAACAACAAATTTTCTGCAGAAGAAACTCTCAGAACAAAAATTTTGACATGGGTCAACACATTCTAATTCTTAGAACTCAACACATCCAATTCCTGCGTGACCTATTCCATCAAGTTCACGACATATTAGTACCATACATAATTTTTTTCGGTATCAGTAAAATCTAGAAAGATGGAAGGATGTCTACGGTGTTGATGTAGGGCAGAGCTGATCATCTACATTTTAAACCGACTGAAAGCTGCAGGCAGTGCAGACGGGTTGCAGTTTGCACTGACGACCACTGACGGCCGGCAGCTAAAGATCAACGCAACAACACAGTTTTCATAAATCTAGTAAATGATGCCCTTCATAATTATACGAGAATTGATCCATCAGCACGAAATATGATACAACAATGGTTAGAATACAGCACTGATATTCACATCCTATTGAGAAGCCTGTCTTATCATGCCGTATTATTACTTGCCGCATCTAATATGTGGAATGTACATGTCGCCGATATTTTATGTGATTTGTTATTGTGCAAAATAGATCGATTTCGTCAACGAGTAGAGACAATTTTGAGTAATAATGGCATAAAATCTAGTAATGATTTGGGTGAAGATGTTTTGTTGATATTAATTCAAATGTATCATGATTACAGATCAACATTGCCATATGCCACATTAATACTGACTTGGACGTCTGAGCGATTAAAAATTGATCAGCTGCTATCCTAGTCAGTGCCTGCGAGCGGTACGAGCGAACCTTTCTGATATGTATGAGCGATCTTGCCTTGCGAAATAACTTCAGAATGTATATTTCTTAAGATTTGTTTTCAGATGCGAAGTAATACGCATTCTCACAAAAAACAGTCAATTTAATACTACCTTGAAAGGCTTGTTTAAATTTCTGGATCCGCCACTACCAGTGGTGGTGTGAAAATTCCATTTTTCAAATTTCGAAGCCTGGTGAACAGTTGTTTTTAATGGGAACTGCTCTCAAGATCTTTTTTTTGCGTAAAATTGACAATAAAACGATGGGGACACTTGACGTTCATATCAGTAAGAAAGCACACTGTTTTTGCTATTGTCATTCGAACAAGAAAAACATTGATAATTAAATCTTGTCTCAACATGTTCTGAAAAATTTTCTTTTTGGAAATCGTATTTTCATTCGTTCTTTTCAAAGAGAATTCGTCTCATGCTAGTTTTAGTTCTTTAAGTGGATATATATTGTTGTAAAATCTCTCCATAGATCATTAAAAATGAAGATTTCTAGAAAACCTATTCAGAAACCGAAATATTAACTGTGGGTTTTCAAAGTGTGTACTGAAGTTTATTGTATACTGTAGGTAAAAAGAGTATATATTGACATTCTACAGTGTCAGCAGTACTTTTCTTGAACATCATATCGGCAAGGTGTATCAACATTTGGACTTTTTTGACGCTATGTCTAAACAACGGAAAATTATGAAATAACTTCGCTCCGATTTTGACGAGGACACGTTGACCTGATGTACACGTTTTAAAAAACAACAAAAATAATTGTACGATACTTTAAATTGCCAAAACCAAAGACTCTTTTCAACATCAATCTTTGAGAAGATTTTGTTATGTTCCTGTAGAATCCTCAGATTAGTGTTTTTTTTAAAAGATGCGCCGCGAAATACTCTACAAAACTATACCTAAACTTTGATTTCAGACCTTCAATTAAGAAAACTACTTTAATTATACGAAAAGGCGAAAAAAACTGAAGACCTTGTAAATTCAAAAACAATTTCCTATATTAACTTTTTGAAAGTAAGAAAACCTGAATCAGCCATTATGTAGTCCTGACTTCGTTCTATCTTTTAGCTACACTTCACATTTTTTCACACCAAAATCCATGGAGAAATAATCATTTTTCTGTCGATTATCACACATATTTTCATTAATTTTTTAAATTCTGGGTAGAGTGGTGCTTCCAGTAAAAGTCCCATAACTCCATCAGAATAATTGTCAATTTTTGACATATTTTTACAGACCACAAGAAAGAACACATTTAAAAGTACAAAAAGAACTAAGTTCTGACTTTTGCTACACTTTTTACGAAAATAATAGTCGAAAAAAAAAACTAAATTTACAAAGTTTTCATTTTTTTCACCTTTCGTCTAATTTACAAAGTTTTCATGATTGAAATTATGGTTTTGCAGAGTATTTTGAGATGTGCATCGTTGAAAAAAAATCACTAATCTTAGGATCCTAAATGAACATGAGAAAACGAGAAAATACTGAGAGGCTCATTCATTATGACGTATCCAATAAAATATAATCACTTTTATTAATGTTGTACAACTCAATGGTAGTTTAAATAACTGTCAATAGGCTTGTAACATGAGAAAACTATCTCCAAAATGGCTAGCCGCACGGTTACGAAACTTGGGGCCTGAGGATTTCAAGCCATGCTCTTTCTTTTAGTAAGCGGAAACTTTTTCAAAAACCTTCAAAAGTAGGGTTTCTAGAAAACCGGGGTTTTTGAGCTATAGGTTTTGAATAAAATGAGTTTTTATAAAGACGTAGCAAGAGAAAACTTTTTTGAATATGATATTCGAATTCAGGGTTGAAAGATGGATTTTTAAAAAAAGAAATTAAGTCTCTAACTCAAACTCCCGATTTTTAAAACTATGTGTATATATATAAATTGTATAAATTGTACGTGTAATAGAGAGTAAATGTATCGATTAGTACATGCCAGGTGCAGTTGATTTCTCTCTTTAACTTTGTCTCTCGCTTCTTCCATTCATCCTATATCAGGAGAGGCACCTGTGTAATAGGCATATATAACGATGAAAAGACTTGTTAAGCGTTCAACTGTATCCTATTAATCGATTTTGAACATCTGAAGCCATAAAAAGTTCTATACCAAAATTTAAATATCAAAAAACTAGAAATTTAAGTGAAATTAGAGAGAGGTTTTCTGAAGATCCTTTAGAAACCCTGATCACGTGATGTGCGAATATTGTCAAACCCCTACGTTTGTATACTTTTTAATACTCTTTCAAATGCCCTTTGAACGAGCCCTCTATCACCTACCTGAGCTGCATTATAGAGGCTTTAAAAAAGCTCCCTTTTTTAAAAATTACAATTTGTTTTAAAAAATCGGAAGTTTGAGTTAGAGACTTAATTTCTTTTTTTTAAAATCCATCTTTCACCCCTGAATTCGAATATCATATTCAAAAAAGTTTTCTCTTGCTACGTCTTTATAAAAACTCATTTTATTCAAAATCTATAGCTCAAAAACCCTGGTTTTCTAGAAACCCTACTTCTGAAGGTTTTTGAAAAAAGTTTTCGCTTACTAAAAGAAAGAGCATGACTTGAAATCCTCAGGCCCCAAGTTTCGTACCCGTCCGGCCAGCTATTTTGGAGATAGTTTTCTCATGTTACACGCCTATTAATAAATTATCGGGATATAAGGATATACCTTCTTAGTTATAAAAGCTAATTAAATTCGGATCAGATTAATAATAGTAAAAAATGTTTTCTGAAAAACTCAGGCATACATATTCTTAATTAGCTCGATGTCCTCTATCCCATCGTGTATAGAAAGATGAAAAATAAAACCTGCTTAAAATTTGAATTATCGGCACCATACTGATTTTCCTAAAACTGTTATCACTCGGTTTTTAGTTCTTTTTCAAAAACAAACATTACCATCAGGTTCAGTTCTCTTGTTTATTTGTTTGTGTACTATTCATACGCGTACACACAGTATCTACATTTTTAGTCTTATTTTAGAAATAAATTTGTTGAAGAGAGAATATGGTAGTATGGATAGTGTGTTTCAGACAAAATCATCCTACGAACAGATCTTGTATGGGATGATTAAATACTTTTAAACCCGCAATGAGTAAGCCAAGTTAATCAATATTTTAACCTATTAGATACTTTTGGAAAACACTATTTGTCAGTTGTTTTATTGATATTGTCAAGTCGGCGAGAATGTTTTTATGACATTTTCACTAATATTTTTACAATGAGAAAAATATGTTTTTTTTTTTATTTCTATGCGAATGTCTTTTGAGATGTAAAAAAAATTAGAAATAGTTTTACATTCTATTTAAACAAGAATGAAAAAAAATTTTAAGAGATGTTGGAAAATTTGCCAATTAAAAATTTTAATGTGAAATAAACAAGCATAGCTCAAACAAAAATGGGCAACTGTAAGTGAGAAAAAAAGTCATATATTGCAGCAAGTCTTGTTCAAGTTCTTATGCGTTAAATCAGTTTTATTCCCAAACATTCATTTAAATTTTCTTTATTACAGTCAATGGATAGTTGTTCATCAATCGAACAGCAATTCTATCGAACATTAACAGCTTTCAATTCACGAAGTGCAAACAAAAATGATCGAGAGAAAGCTTGTGAAAATATTCAAATACTATGGAAAACTATGAAATCGACTGAAGAATTAATTGATCATCTTCTAATTGTTATTAATGGCGTTTTGAATTATGGAAAACATTGGAGAATAGATGTATTAGAGAACCGTCCGAACAACATTATAAAAAATCAATTAATAACATCGAACGAAATATTAAAAATTTATAATATGCTACTAGTCACACCTGATTTTGATCGTCAACGATTATGTTTATCATTAAATGTAACATTATTCAATCGGTTTAATTATGAACATCTATATATATTAGCAGGTAAACCAACTATGTCTAACTCGAAATATACTCATGGATCATATGATGTAATAACAGATATTACTGATCAAGGACCAATAAAAATTGAAATTAATGATTTACAACATGTTGTACATAATATTGATGATGTATTGAATATATTATCACTAACACGAGGCAGCATTCATTTCAAAGCATTTCCAAATCAAGATTATTTTGGTCCAAATCTTTTTTGATTTTCACCAGTGCCACCAGTGTCATCAATAATTGGTACTTCTGATTCATCATTACATACGAGATCATCTTATGGAAATGTCCGTTTTCATATACCATTTCGTTCGATTATCAATCAATATCCAAATGCTTATTGTTTGGGAACACGTAAATTTGATAAAGAATATTGTCATACAATTCTTTTGGCTAACAATCAACTTAAAACAATTTATGGATTTGGCGAAGAATTTCCATTACTTAATGAATCTTCAAGTCTAATACATTTGTCTCCATCTAATAATATTACTGAATCTACTTATTGGAAGCGTTATCGTTCTAAAATTGATGAAGCATGGGATCAAATTGATTTTTGTATTCCTATACCTGATCAGTTACTATTTGATCCTCAACAAATAGAAATTAAAATTGATTTTATTGATCATGAGAAAGATTTGTGTATACCATCATTGAAAGCTCGACGAAGAAATATTAACAATTGGAAATGTGAAAATTTAACTGCACATGATGCAATGATAGAGTTTGTTCGTCGAAGTCTTGAAATAAAAAACTCAAAGTTTTTTGATTCATTAGAACCATTATTTGATGAAGATTTATGGAAAAAATTGCAAGATATACGTCAAGAACGATTGTTATCCACATAAATCTATATGGATATATAAATTTTTAATTTTCATCCTTAACAGAGACTCAAGTTTTTCCAGTTTTAAACGCGATAGAACGCCAGCAAAAACGGTACACTCACGTACACACTATGATGCCACCCGTATGAGAAGTTTAGACAGAATGAATGTAAATAGTATTCGCGATTGACTGTTTTTCAAAAAAGTTCCAAAAACCTATTATTAGCTGAAGTATCCTATATTTTCCTATTTTTGAATAAAATCAAGAAATTCATAACCTAATCAAGATCCATCGAAATTATATCAGAATATCAATATTTTACCTCCTCCAAATGATTTTTTACTTGAGAATAGGAAACCGCATTCTTGTACTTCGGAAGATTCCTAGAAAACCTTTTCAAAAACCAAAGTATTTTCTGTTGATTTCTAAAGCTTTTATTGAACTGCATAGTATT